ATTATTTAATCTGGCCTGTGAATTTTATCCATTTTTTCGTATCTTTAGTTTTTGCTTCCTTCAAAATCTGATAAAAAATAAAAATAAATCTGTATCACTCAGGTGAGACCAGGGAGACCTGCACACATTTAGCACGCATTTTTTTCAATATAGGTTAAATATATGCTGCTTTCTATATATACATATAGCATTTTCTCCAAATTTCCTTGCATTCAACTTGCCATTACACGCTTCCATCTAACACCCTGATAACTGCATGGACAGCATTAAACATTAGATTAACTTTCTCATGTAAATGCCTGAGGCAAAGTACCTGTACTTGTCAGTAAGATCATCTCCTCATAATGCCCGTGTCCCTCTCCCAGAGCTTTTCCTCAGATACTTATTCTGTTTATTGTTAAGGTGAATAAGTTTTCGTAGAGCCTTACCTTAGGACCTTCAGGGCCATTTAATCCAGGTACACCAATATCTCCTGGAAAACCCTACAGAGATCATACAGACAAATGAGTTACGGCGTAGGAATGTTTTTAATGCACTTGTTTTGATTCTGTTCATTCGTTTAACAAACCTGAATCACAGCACAAGAAATAGGTTTATTCTACCATCCCCAAAATGTCAAAATCCATTAAGCTTCCTTGAAAGGTCTTGGATAAGTGACAGATTTTAGGCAGCTTTCATTAAACTCAATTTAGCAGATGTCAGCATGGGTTTCACTTCTCTTAGCGTAAGACTTTTTACCCACTAAGCAATGTTTGAAATTAAACCATTGGATTGGTCTTGATGCACCAAAAAACCCCACAAGGCAGCCAGCACCAGGTCCTGCACTCACAAATTCAGCTATTTAAAAAAAAAACAACAAACCCTAGAGAGCAGCTGGAGCCCCTTAATCCTCAGCCACACTTTAGGAGCAAGATCACTGCAAGGTTAAGAAAATAAAAATTAAGAGGAGAAAGCCTTTTGCCTCTGAACCAGCAGGTGCTAACCCAGGTCTGGATGGCAGTAACTGAGAGTTACGTGCTACCAGCAGGTAGCATTATTCAGAACAAACCTTGGTGAAACAGGGTGCAGTATAGGTCCAGCTGCTGGTGAAGCAAAAATCATTACGCAAAGGATATGAATGAACTGAAATAGACACCCCAGACTCTCTGGGACTGAGTGGGACACCACGAGGATGCCCCTATATCAGAGGAAACCAGCACAACAACTCTATTGCTTTATAAGGAATGAGGGTATTTTAACAAAACAAACGTGATGGAGCTAACCCTTAGGCAATACAGTAGTCAGTTAAATTTCATAAACATCCAGTGAGGAAACTTAATCTGTATTATTTGGAGGATAAAGTAAAGCATTGGTGATTTATTTTTTAGTTGGCGCAGGGCTCAGTCACCTGCCAAGATAGTATTTGATTTTGTTATTTTTATAAGCTTTTAAATTTCATTAAATCTTGCCCATCTGAAAATAGAAAGTCCTTCCTCTGAGCAAAGTATTTATTACTACATCTGTGTGCATCCAATGCCTCACACCAGTAAAAACAAGTTTCCTTAACAGAAAATCATTGCAGATTAAACACTATAAATACCACTCTTTGCACGCATACTTTTCCTAATGGAAATGAACGCATTATGCATGCTCAGAACAATTTAAAGAACATCTCAAAGACCTTCCAGCATGAGATCCTCTCTGGCACCCGTCCATACTAATGCAGGCTAACACATGTCAGCATTAAATCTCTAGAGTCACTTGTAAGATTCTCTGAGCAGGAAAGAGGCATTAAAAGAAATTCCCTCCCTAGGTGGCTAACAGTTAGCTATGCTTTATTCTTCCAGTACAGCCAAGCTTCAAATATGGCTAATAATAATTTCTAATGATTATTCATGGTTAGCTGACATTAATCACAAAAAAACCCAGAAATGTAAGGGACAAATCATACTAAAGCAAAAGGTTTAAAAGAAAATACTATTTCACCCTCAACTGTCACATTATAACAACACTTTTAACGTATTTCGGGCATCACAGTTCTTACTGATAGGGCTTTCTTCCATTTGAATTCAATAACCTGTTCTTAACAGGATGCACAGAGACTTAGCGAGGGTGCAAGTATTTTTATGTGTGTTTATATACTAAATAAAAAATAAATTTATAGAAGTACGAAAGAGAATTATTACTTCTTTTAAAAAAAATCAGCTTTATTACTTGAATGCTAATGAATAATAAACCAAACCATTAAAGAGTAAAACCCAACTGATCTGGGTTTTCAGAATAGGTGTAAGAACCCCAACACACAACACATCACGGTGGCTATTTCTATTTTGCCGTAAAGCTGTAACTACAAGAGCTGTGCAACACACACGCCTCTAGGTGTCACACCGCATTTGAGCGACCTGGCACCAGGCACCCAGGCTGACACCCAAAGTACTCACTTGTACCAGTCTGGGTTTCCACACAGTGTGTAGGTGTGGGTTTGTAAACCTTCTCTTATCTACTGAGTTATACTGGAGAGTTAGGAGTTAGGTCTTCAGAAGTTGCTAACTCATCCTTTCTTAATTTTAAATTTGCTTAGTTATAGACATTAGTTACTGTGGGGAAGGTTGGTTTGTACATCTGTAAATCTTTACATTTCTAATGTGTGAACAAGTGCAAAATGCTGACACAGGGCAATGGCAATTCATGGCAATAAACACCCCAGAAGACAACCCATCAAGAAAAATGTCTGTTCAGAAAGGTTCTTGTACTTTTACAAGGGAATATGTCTGCTTTATTTATTTGTGTAAGTATTTCTAGAAGGCCTGCAGTAAGAGCTGAGATGTAAGCATTGACAAGGACCATCCCAGTTAGAGCAACCATGACATCTGTAAACCTTTCCATGTCAGGACAAGAGGGCTACCGGCCTGAGAGCATCCACACCAGCAATGCATTTAAAACACTTACATCTTCGTAACTCCTGTCTTTGCTGCAAAGCTGGATTTAGTCTTTTCTTCTCCAACACTACCAAAGAGATACTGCAATGGCAGCATTAGAACACTCTTCTTCAGATGTTCTCACACTAATAATCTGTGAGGTAACTGTCATAATCCAGGTCACAGAGAGCCACTTAACTCCAGAAAATGAATGAACCAGAAAGGCGTTCTTAAAACACCTCAGCAATGGTGTCTGCCATTCACATTGAGCAGTGAAGTGCTATACATTTCTACCTGTATCTGAATTTGCCATGAGTTATTCAGCATTCAGCTCCCTGCTAAAACACTCCAGATTAAAAATTCATTATACTTCCATAAGTGAAAGGCCAGGACATCAATGTGCAGTTCCCAGCTGCAACATAATTTTCAGCAGAGACTTCGGAAAAATCCATCACTCAATATTATGACTTCTACTAAGGAAATGCAAAGCGTAGATTCTTCCCATCAGCCAGAAGCCTGGCAGCTGGGATTATTTCCAAACTGCTGCTGCAGATGTGGCCTTTTGCCAGCAAAGCACTTCAGAGTCCACTCAGTCGAAACAAGAGAGAGGTGGTGTCAGTAAAAACTGAAGTACCAGCCATCCCAACACAAACGTGCTTCAGCCTCACTGCCAAAGTGCTGTTCTTCGTTCTGAATACATTGAAATATAAAATCAACATATCTATTGCTCTCATTTACCTCCATAATCTTTAATTAACAAAAAACGCAGAGATTATCAGACTGCTATTATGTCAGGGCATGTCTTTTTGTACCGAAGTCAGTGACTGAGAGATGAGAGATCTACATAGGCTGTCGCTTTTCTTCTTTTCCTGTGTGGCTGCTAACACAGCAGCAGAGCATCAGAAACGCTTGGAAATTACACTCCATTTCCACCAGGAATTCTCCTACGCTTGCAGACCCCACTCACCCTGAGCTGTTTCCACGCATTTGCCAGCATTGCTGTTCATCACCGCCTCTCGTGCCCTCATTGAGCAGCGCTCAGTGGCACTGGAACAGAAGTGCTGGGGCAAGGGCACCACAGAGCAGAGCCTCCAAGGGGCCGTGGTCCTTTCAGCTGCCAAATTTCCCTGCTCCAATATTGTTTCACTCAATCACACGCTGGGTTTCCTTTGAATGAGAATTACAGTGACTTTTCAGAAGCAACGGTGACTGGATGCAGCTGCTGAACTCCAAGATCTCTTGTTAGAGCTTTATTACTGATTTCACATTACAAAAGGAAGATTTCTGCATAAAACTACAATCTCTCTAAGCTGAGAAAACAAGCTGTGATTTTGTATTCTCAAACAAGAAGTGTTTATTATTCCTCTGAAAGGGCACGCTATGCAGAGATACAACTCATTGGACATTGGTAGGACTGCGTGACAGTGTCAGTAACGTGCCAAGTACAGAGAGGAAAACAGAAAAACAAGATTTGAAATGAACTTTCTTCTGTGCCAATGTAGCCAAACTTTACTGCCAGCATTTTTAAAGGGCAGGGACAAAAACTTGATTTTTTTTTTCCTACAAACCTTCAATTCTGATTTTGGAAAGGGTGGAGGAAGGAACCTAACAGTACAAATTACAACTGTACAACTGCAATTTGTCAGAGAACAGGAAAAAGCCAATCATGTTGTTAAGATGTCAGTAAAATGATGCTGCTGTTGCTCTGTCTTTTTGTCTAACGGCACATGGCAGATCCGTCCAGCCACCCTCACTGAAACACCAGTGATACACCGTCTTGTGAGAGACCCAAAGTCACCAGTTTTCCAAACGTGATCCATAATTCTTTAAAGCCATCTACTGCACCTACATATTCTATGCAGCACAGGCCAGGATCCTTGAACTGCTAATTCACCACATTCTGCTGTTTCCAGAAAGATCAAGGGGATGTGCAGCACAGGGTGCAATGTCTGTTTGCTACACAGGGGCACAGGACGTCTGACCGTTCAGATACTGAAACAGGAGTAGGGGAAGCAACCCTATCGGACCTGCTAGCTGTCTGGTTTTGGAAGGGGAGACACAATTAGACGCATGACAGTGAAGCCTGCACTAATTTCTCCTACTTCACATATCCACTTGTGTCTAAGTAGCTTCCGGCAGCAACTGTCTCATTTTTCTAAGACAAAGTAACAGGGAAAGTAAGATACAACATTCAGTTTTAAGATGTTTTTAAAAAATGTTTTTATTATAAAACTGACAATATTTCCAACTTGTTCAAGATCCTGCTATACTGTTGTCCTACCTCCTTTCTGTTTCTTTTATTTTGCCATATGGTGACCGTGTTTTTATGAAATAAAAGAAGGCAAAACTTCTTTTACTTTATTTGGATCCGCCTTGTATAACTAAAGCTAAGAAAAAACACTGCTTTGTAGTTCTAAACCTGATGTTTTGCAGACAATTACTCACATAAAAATACCTAGACACTCAAGCTTTAATTATCTAACATAAAGTGATTTATTTGCCTTCTGATGGCTGATGTAATTCTCTACCCCTGAGCAAGAGGAAGTGCTGAGCTTTTCAGACAGGAAGTTTTCCCATTCACATCT